CGAGGTAATCTCATTCGATTCCGATGAAAACGTGCTAAGCTTTCGTTCGTCATATGACGAACATCATCAGAGCAAGTTATGAAGGGATGCGAAGTTCAATTTGTTGTGACGATGATACCTTGCTCTGATGATGCTCGTCATATGACAGACGAAAGCTTAGCACCTTTTCATCGGAATCGAAGGATATTACCTCGGAAATAGCATCATCGAGAATGTTCCAGTAAAGCCAATCGACAGCTGGTCAAGAGGAACCCGCCGCCGTATGCCGATTCGACCTTCGAATCTCTTCACTAAACACTTTCACTCGAAATGGAAATAATCACAACAATTATAAACGCAACCAGAAAGTCAAAAATATCAAAGTATCTCTTTATATCACCATTCATAAATTTTCATGATTTTTATTGATCATGATTCTATTTGTGGGTCATAGCGGGACTCTTGAGGCAAACTATCATTAACCCCTCGTCCTTACTTCTTTCATATAGCCTTCCACCTTCTTGTCCTCTCGTCTGTCTTTTGATCTATCGAAGCTATCAGTGAATCTTGTCCAAACATGTTTATTTTCGACTGATCGATCTTCATTTTTCCTTCAATTCTCTGTCTCAATAGTCCGCCTTTGACGGCTCCATTGATTCTGGCAAGTCTTCTATTCACCCAACTTCCTCGGACTCTGTGCCATCAAAATCTCCGCATCGGCATCTGCCTGACTTGTCAACTCCCACGTCGAATCCTCCTCCTTTACCTCGGCGGACTAACCGCTTGACTTTTATCACCGCAGCCTCCACCACTGCGACCACTAATGACTTGTATGCCGATAAATTGGGTCCCAGTGGAGCCTCTCTCGCCAAACTGCCTTCGCCGCCATCACATGATACCAGCCTGTCACCATCAAATACAATTATTTCACGTCATAGCCAACCAAATGATCAACCAACTCCAAGTCAATCCCTTTACAATTCCAGTAGCTCCCCATTTACTGATGCCAGTCCTTTGAGCTCCATAGCTTCCCATCAGTCAGAATCACTCGCATCCTCTTCGTCTCTCTGTTCAGCTTCTTCATCGTTCATCGGTAAGCTGAACATAACGACGATGCCAATAAATCCATCGATGACGATGCCTGAGCTGTCCGTCTTCGCTGCGTTGACAGAGGTATGGCGAGCGCACTTCTATAATGGTGGTGGCAGTTCCTTTCTGACTGCGGGATCTACAAGCCCACCACCTGTGCACTTCGTCACCGGTGACTTGAGTTTGGCTTTTCCGTCAGCTTTGATGCGTTCCGGCGAGGCCATGGCCACTAAGGACTTGGTAGATTCAGCCTCTGTCTGGCTTCCGGAACTCATCATTGTGCTTTCTTCCGCGGAACGCGTGAGAGACCTCACGGCCAAACATCCAGGAATCACGATCCGGCAGGTTTTACATGCACACTACTTTGTTCATGCCTTTATTGATATGAGTCTGTAAACGGAGTCTTGGATATTGCTAATGATATTACCAATATTTACCAGAAGGCGATCTGCTGTGTATAATTTTACTTTTTTTTAGTTACCCACTAGTGTATTATAACTTAAATAATCCCATTATATTTGGTATTGATTAAACTGCAGGAGCTATTAAGTCTGCATACTTATGCCTTACCATTTCTTTTCCATCATGTATTCCGTCATCTGTCCCTAAATTTATTTTCAAGCTAATTTGCTTTGAAGTCTTCAAACTCGGCTCACAAGCTAGCTGATAAAGATGCGAATTCTGCAATAATTTCAATGCTACTCGTTTATTAGGCACTATTTTTTGTAAGGCATTAATTTTTATCATAAATGGTTTACAGTTGTTATGGACATTCTAGGAGCCTAGACTGCACTAAAAGTAGTAAACTTTTCCATAAATTGCTGAATGTGTTTAGTTATCAATAGTTACGTCTGAGATTGTGCTTGTGATTGGTAATACCTTACACACTTAGCAACGACATATTCATAATTGGTTAATCAAGGAAAGTATGTCAATGTCCAAAGGATTATGCTTTTTAAATTCCCTCGTTTACTCCGCTAAATGAGGTTTCATTTTGGAGAGTTCTGTTCATAATTGGTAATTGAAGATATGGGAATCAGAGCCTAGACGCTCTGCCCAGTGAGGCGACGGTGTATGTGCTTATAGGACCTTGAGAACTAGCGCCTGGAGTGAAATGCACACAGGGACTGGAACCAAGTCGAATCGGTCAACCAGAAAGATAAGGAACGGATCTAGGGGACAATGAGAGGATTCGGATTTGAGGCCCGAATCGGATCAGCTGGTCGAAAGAGAGGGGTCAAGGTAAATAGCAAGTGTGATAAGGCCACACTAGATTTGCCGCAAAAGGGCACACATTTTGACGAGTGGAATGTAAACAAGTGAGAAGTTGTG